ATATCTGCCCTAAATCTGTGCATTTTAGTCCTTTAGTCTATAGAGCTGGCCATCTTCTGGAGCCAGTCTTAAGTGGCAATGCATTTCTTTTCAGCTCCAGAAGTTGCTCTCTGTTTCTCTGTCTATACTAACGACTGTGACTATGCTAACTGGGATAATAAGGATGGTGGCTAGGGTTATAAGGAAGGCCAAAGCAGTCCCTAATGCTATGTCTTAAGTGTAACATGCTATGTCTTGTCTTTATAGTGCCAGAGTTGGGAGGAATACCTTAACTCTAATTCACAACAGCAAAACTATGTTGGTTTACTACACAAGAGAGAGAAAAAAAAAAAAGCGGCTTAACTCTGAAGGAGCAGTTGAGCGTGCCAACAGACCTGAAGACACAACGACACAAACCATAAACTGACCAATCAGGTCGCTGTGATGACAGCTGTGACATCACAGCAAGAGATGAACCTTCATGGTTTCTTAAATATGAGGATCTGGTGTACTGATGACATCACAGCGCTGCGATTAGTCAGTTTGGTTAACATCGGAAACTCCACGATGATCAGCTGATTACAGCGTTAATCCCAGTTCGCTGTGGTTCTTCAGACTTCACACAGAAACAGACGGTGTGGAGGAGGCCGCACAGGAGGTGGTGCCACAGGAGGCGGCGCCACAGGACAGGAGGAGGCGCCACAGGACAGGAGGAGGCCGCACAGACCTGTGGAGAGGATCAGGATGGAGGTTTTGGGAGGTGTTCAGCGCTGGGACAGAAGCTGGATATTTCACACTTTCATAGACACGCTTGTTCTCAGACTGACCTTCTGCATGTTTCCACGTGGACCTGATCACCTGTCAATGACTGTTATTGATCACTGCTGCAGAAGCTGAAGCCTCACCTGCCACCAGGGACGTTTGAGCTGCAGGTGAAGTTTGGCTAAACTAGAAGATCAAAAATACTAAAATACCTGCTCAAGGCAATACAACCCTACCTGTGCAGAAATGTTGGTCAAAAAAGAAAGAATAACGCAGCAAAAAAAGTAGCAGATAGCTGTGCGCACCATCGACGAGGTTAAATCTCAGTTTTCCTCAGGTAAACGCAGAGTTTCTTCTTCTTTAAAACGCCAACATGTGACCAAAGGCCGACGCCCAGAGTGGCTTGTCGTGGGGAGCGTCAGGGAGCAGACTCTGGAGAAACCTCACTGCTGTTCCCGTGCAGACTTAAGCGCTGTCCTGACCTCACGGTTTCCTCCAATCAGGCTGAGAGATGTTTAAACGAGGTGTCAGGTGTTTACCGGCCAATGTTTGAACTCCAGGTAGAAAGTGTGAGCTGAGTTTACCTGACAGGCGCATTTCCCCAGGACAAACACTAACATTGTGGAGGTTCTGGTTCCAGCTACCTGTCACACTCCATGGTGATTGTTTATCCAGGTGTTTTACAGTCTGTCTTCGCGGCTGTGGTTTCCAGATATTTTGTGCTCAAAGGTCTCCAGAGTTTCAGAGCACACCTGTACTCGTACCTGCGCCATCACACGGAGATGCTGCAGAAACCTGAGAATAAAATTATATACACACACACACACACACACGAGTGTGTTTTTCTTTTTACCTGTTCTTAACGCGCCCACACAGACCGCGAGATTTCACAGGACGCAAAATTTTGATGAAGCTCAACATTTGGATTTTTTTGGCTGTGAATAAACAGATCTGACCAATCAGATCGCTGCACTTGTACTCGTATCCCAAAGCGCGCACCGTCACTGAACACACATGCGACTCGGCAACACTAAAATAATCCTCACTCACCGCTCGCTGCTGCTCCAGACTGAAATGATCCCTCCTGGGATCAAACCAGGAAACCTGCTGCTGAACGCGTGAATCCAAAAATTCTGAATTTCCTGTTATCTTCATCAGGCTCCGCGTGTGAAGCCCTCTGCATCTACACCTTATAAAAGCCTCCACCCTTTACAGTTAACCACAGCCCGCTGAGTCTTCACTATGTCCATGAAGCTTCACCCTCCTCCTCCTCCAGGCTGCAAGTCCGACCGTGCAGAGCTCTCACACACACCTGATCACCACGCCTGTACTTTCATTCTTCATAACAACGTTATGTTAAACTGCAGAAGCCCGGGGGCAGGTATGCAGGTGACACTGAGGTCAGAGGCACACACTTGTGCTTAAAACAGAGACACAAATCAGAGGACTCCTATTAAACACTGGACACACTGTTACCTGCACTACATGTTTTATTGTAATAGATTACTTATTCACGAGCTGTGTCACGTGACTTACCTGTGAGTGTTATAAATGAGTGCATTTATAACGTGCCGGGTGGGCGGCCGCCACACGGGCACCTGGTGAACCCCGTACGCACAAAATAAAGCGCGCACACAGACACAGGAACGCGCAGTATCAGTGCGGGCTGAATGATCCAGCTGTGGTCACGTGAGTAGTGTGGCGGCAGCTGTGGTTCCCGTGCTGTGGCTCGGTTCCGCTTCGGAGTGTGACTAAACAGAGTCAGCTCGCCCCAAGCCCGCGGCCCGAGTCCGGGTCGAACCGACGGCACGGAGCCCCGGGAGGCGGCGGGCTGGCCGCCTGGGATCAAGCCGCGCCGCGGGGTCTCACCGGAGTCATCTTTGTGTTCTCGGAAGGCACGTTCGAGTCCCGCGGTCGCTCACGGGTCTCCGACGGCCGCTGCTCACGGGGATTCCTGCCGTCACAGCCAGGTTGCGGCCCCAAGATGGCGGCGGAGGCTGCGCAGTACTGGCGGAGGTGACGTGACTGCGGAGGACGCCGCGTGCGCTGTTGTTTGCCTCCCACCATTAAAGACCCTCCGCGGCCAGGCCGACCACCGAACCCGAACAACGGATCCACGGAGCCCCTCGGAAGCGCCGGGCGCGCGGGGGCGGACACAAGGTAACGATTGCGTCGGTACCGGAGCGCGTGGCCGAGCTTCGGGGTGACGGCAGCCACGGTGAGCTCGGTGAGGCCTGCGGCTAGCTGCTCTCTGAGGGAGGCACGGAGCACAACGAGCCCAGCGGAACCGAGACCGAACCTCCGCGTCCGCGCGCTTTTTCACCGGAACCTCGGGTGTCTGTGAGCACGTGCAGTTTAAAGGGCAGGTTAGCACGCGGCTCCTGCGGATGTGTTTATATCCAGGAGGCCAGGTGAGGGCAGATGGGTCATGGTTAGGGGCGGAACAGGGCAGAGGGCCTCAGTTTGTAGTTTTTAGTGTGGGGTTAGGGCGGGAAAGTAGCACAGAGCTAGCAGGCTGCACAGTGTCTGCGCCCTGAATGTTTCTGAGATGCTCTGACCTCAGCTCTGCCACGTTCACGGGTGAGTTAAACTAAAGTCAGCAGCTCCAGCGCCCAGAGACCTCCTCAGTGTCCCTCAGACCTCCTGCTGCTACCCAGGGCTTGATGTGGCTGTGTTTTAGAGCTTCCTGTAAGAGTCTGCGTTACTTGTTAAAAACTGACTACTTGGACTTCATTGTAACACCTGCAGAAAGCACACCTTAGTATTCAATCCTGTCAAGACTTCTGTTTTCTTCAGGTGGCATAATAGCTGCAATGCTAACATGTTAGCAGATAGCAGCTAACCTGCCCAGTTAGCGTGAACACTACAGTGCTAAAGTATATGAGACTTAAGATAGCACAGTTACCTGTTACGAAGCCTGCAGTCTGACATTTTTGACCACACATGACTGCGAGTGCTAGCACTGGCTAGCTCACCAGAATTCGTTATTCACTCATTATGACTGTTATACATCTTATGTGGTTAGCACAATGAAATTCAATTTAGTAGGTCGTCAGCAGGTTACACCTGTGTCAGGTAAACATCCTGCAACATGACATCACACACCCTGTGACCATACCTGACTGTATTTGGATGTGACGTGGCGGTAGGCATTATCAGCTAGCACTTTCAGGCTAACGTGATTGCAATCAGGATGTCAGTTTCAGCAATGATAACACAAAATGTTTCAGTAAATGTCCGTCCAGAGTAGAGCAGGGTGATATGACCAAAAATAGTTATCACGATATACATTTGAAAATTTGCGATAACGATATAACTGACGATATAATTGACACGAGACAAAATTCTTTACAACTCCACAATTTTATTAGTGCAAAAACCCCATCAATGTATTTTCACTTAAACAAGCAGCTGTTTTTTATATGCAATAAAGTTATATAAAAATGTAACAGTGCAAATGCAAATTCGTTGCTGACAGTTTAACCAAAAGGCATTTCCAGTGGAAACTGACCGACATATCCTCAGCATAACCATGTATAATATCCACAAAACTTAAAAAGAGGTTATACACACACAATACGGTAATATTATGTTGAAGCACAGTACGTATCACTCCGCGGTACAGCGGTGCGGCTTCGTAGCTCAGCAAAGTCGTACTGAAACCTTTGACAGATTTTCGAGCGCCGTGTACATAAAATCGTTTCAAGGTCAGTAAACGCAACCAGAGTTCATACATAAGGCTCACGGGATTATAAGGGGCACTGTCGACTTTCAGAAAAATCAAAGGATTGATTTTAAGTGTGCCGTATTTTCCAAACAACACGGTAATAACGACGGCCCGCTAGCATGCTCTACCGAAAATAGTGCTTTGTTGTGTATCTGACGGACGAAAATTAAACCAGTTCCACACCAGTGAAGCTGCAGCATTTTTACAAACCAGTTCTGGTTCATCTGTTTCATTCAATGATCCGCTTTCGCTCTTCTCATTCTGCGTTGCCGCCATGTGCGTATGTAAACAAAGGCACTGCGCATGCGCGTTTTACACATATTCTATCGCGATATTTCGTTTTCCTATCGTTGCCCAAAATTACACCGTATTACCGTGAACGGTATGAGATAGCCCAGCCCCAGTCCAGAGTATTTTTTGTGAGGTTGAAGCTCAGCCCGCTCTGGCTTCTTGTCGTGTCCTTTGTGATGACGGGACATGATTTTGTGTCACGTTCCTGATTCAGCGTGGAACCCAAACTGAAACACGCACTTTTTAAATGAATGTATATAGAAACATATTTATGCACAGCTATTGATTCACCATAATGTCCACCATGTCTTGTTGTGTTTTTATAGCAGAATCTGTGATTTTGTTTCGTTTCTGTTGTTCATCAGTTAAAAATAATCTAGTTATTGAACTTAAAAAACGTCTTTCCCGTGATGCCTGGTCGCTGCCGCTCTCTCCCCGTGTGATCGCTAGCTAAGCTTACAGAGGTCTCCGCTGCAAGTGCCTGCCTCCACCCAAAAGCTTTAACAGACTCTGGTGTATATGAAGCATACGATGGATAAGAAAACCATGTTTGCGTCTAAAGATTCAGTGGTGATCGTGTTACTGAGGTCAGTGTTTGCTGATTTACAACAAGAAATAAAGGCCTGTTTAATCTGTGCAGCAGAGGAAAGAATAAAAATAACAGAGAAACGATTCCCCTATCAGCAAACTGGCAATACACATGCACACAGATGATGGTGCTTTTCTGATATTTTCATTGGTGCCTGCTCTGTTAAGTAACTGGTCAGTAACCAGTATTAAACTTAACGGTCTGAATTAGGGCTGCCACGATTAGTCAACTTGTCAAGATTACATCGACGATCAAAATCGTCGACACCTCGTTTGAAGCTTTGTAAGATCCCAGAAGACGCAGGAATAAGCAGACGTCTATTACCCACCAGCTCGATAGCTAGCCGAGAGGTCCGAGCCTCGAAAACAGTGTACTCCCCGCACATAGTTTTCAGACCCCCGCGGTCTTTCGCTACTCAGGTTAAACATGATATATAAACAGTGTAAGGACTAATGCGTTACAGTAACTACGTTATTATTGTGGTAATGAGCACGGTAACTAGTTATTATGCCAAAATCAGTAAAGCATTTATTGTTACTGGGATTTAGATGGGGTCGTTACTCGTTACTACTTGTGTTGCGTTCGACTGACCTCGGAAATCGGAACACGGACCTGGGAATGATGTCACACTCGACTAAATAGCGTTTTGGTTAGCGCCAGGGCGACACCCTCAAACATGGTTGTTTTGCTAACCCTCTACAAAAACAAATTACTACTAAACACATATGCAGCTCATCTGCAGTCTAGAATCTAGCTAGAATCATGGCGTCAGTCGACGACGGTCAAGTTGTTTGTTTTAGGATCCACTGCTTCTTCCTAGTGATAGATTAGATTAGATTTATAACACTGCTGCATCAACCCCAAAATGACGTGTTTGCATTTGTAGAGGGTTGAAACAACAGAAATAGATTAAAACAGACAGGAAAAAAAAGTGACACATAAAACAAACATCGTTAATTTCTAATTTAGTTTCATTAATTTCATCATTAACTTGCACTCACACTGCCATTAGGTGGCACAGTGCAGTGTGGCAGGATAGTGCTAACATGTAAGCAAGCTAGAACACTGGCATCCTTGCTGGAAGCAACACATTAATAAGAGAATTCTACGGTGGCCCTGAGAGGCCAAACGGACCGCAACTTCAGAAAACACTTGCAAAAAGAAAAATGCTGCAAAAAGAAAAACGCTGCAAAAAGCACACACAACACAACGGAAATGTTTCTGGGGAGACAATAACCGGACGGACCAGTTGCACGAACCAAAAAATGCTAACAAGTGCACTGGGACTGGGAGACACTTCAAAGAAGTGGAAGCGGAGCAGCCGAAGAGTAAACTTTCAAAAGTAAGTAGTGAATATTATGTCACTTATTTATGTGCAAATGTTTAATAATGAAGAACATTAAAACATTACTGTTGGCCACATGTCGGCAAAGTTATGTGACATTAGTGATGTTTGTACTTTCAGGGTTTACTTTGTTTGAAATCCTGTACACCTCTCTCTCTCTAGCTCTCTCTCTAGCTCTCTCTCTCTCGCTCTCTCTATATATATATCTATATATATCTATCTCTTACAGAGAATGTGATGATTTTGTGGATAATTAACTCATTCACTGCCAGCCATTGGCAGTGAATGAGTTAAACCCATTGACTCATTCACTGCAATTGACGGCTATAGACGTCAATG